TGCTGCGACACATAAAACAACCATTGTAATGAAACATTGCCAGATTCAAGCTCATCTGTTTCGGATAAAACTAAATATGTTTTTAGCACTACTCGCAAGACATTTCACTTTGAAAGCGTCACGAAATGCGCAATAAAGCAACCTAACATCATTTTGCCACAGGCGCATTTGCACACGTTGACAAACAAAGAAGGCATACCAAATCAAATTTTTTAAATACGGTACTAGCGCCACAAAGACTTCAAAATCGTAACAAATCGTAATATTTTAATGACGGTAATCCAGACACATGAATGCAGCATGTTTACAATGATAAACCAAAAGAGAAAGCCAAGAATCTGTCTCTTGACTGCTTCGTGCCATCTTCTTTCACTAGATGTTTAAGGGCCCTGATGGAGAGATTGATACCATCTTCACGGGCCCCTCCTCAGCTTTGTGCGGGGTCAATCTCGAGAGCAATGGCAAAAAGGAATACCTGATTACTGGTAAGAGTGAATAACTATGTTGTGAAAGAATAGTGTTCAAGAAACAGCATTTGCTTCTATAAACTCTAGAAGCGGTACCTTTATACCAATACCATCTCATTAATCTGCACAGGTAATATGGATTCAAATGGCACATTGCTTATAAATCTTTGCGACTACATTGAATCTTGGGAGTCTCTGAGTATGACACAGAAGAAGAGCTTGGGTCAGCGCTACCAGATGGGCTGTGATTGCAAGGTATTGCTATCTATCTATCTATCTATCTATCTATCCATCCATCTTTCCATCTATCCATGTATCCATCCATCTTTCCATCTATCCATACATCTATCCATCCATCTTTCCATCTATCCATCTATCCATCCATCTTTCCATCTATCCATCTATCCATCCATCCATCCATCTTTACATCTATCCATCCATCCATCCATCCATCCATCCATCTTTCCATCTATCCATCTATCCATACATCTATCCACTATCCATCTATCCATCCATCCATCTTTCCATCTATCCAACCATCCATCTTTCCATCTATCCATCCATCCATCTTCACGTTCTCACAGTTCTTCTCCTCTTGTCTTTGCGCAGGTTGTCCAGTGTCCCATGATTCCCTGTTCCATTAACGACCCCACAGAGTGTCTTTGGACTGACTGGGTGCTGGAGGGAACAGTTCAGGGGACCCAGGCTCAGCACTACACCTGCATTAAGAGGAGTGACAGCAGCTGTGCCTGGTACCGTGGATCTGCCCCTCCTACAAAAGAGTTCATGGACATTGAGGACCCATAAGCAAGTCCTCAGCTTGATCACTCATTCATAAAATCCCCCACAACACAGCTTACCTTACCTTAAACTCACACCTTAATTCTGCAAATGCATTCTAGAGCTCATGAAACCTGTCAAGAACATGTTTGGATCACCCCAAATTCAAAAGAAAAAGATGGTATAGATGGTAATATTTTTGTATGAATGAATGAATTAAAAGAAATAATGAATATTTTGCATAAAGAAAATAAAGTTTGAAAGAATATAAAAATGCCTGTCCTCCGGATTTTTTTATTATAGTATTACGAATATATATTCTCATTATCGTATTACAGTATTTTTAGATCATAGAGAATTACAAACAAACTAATAAGTAACACATCCGAACACTCTACGATGGGATGAGAATTATGCTGGAAATATAATGTTTTACATTTTTCTTTTGATTTTAGGGTGAATTATGATGAAGTAATTCTGTAGCATGACAGGATGCATGATTTGGTTGCATTTTAATATATCAAGTGAATCTTACCTCTAGTGTTGAAATATTTTTTTATGACAGGCAGAAAAGTTCTCTTAAGCACTTTGAGAACTTTGTGAAGTGTTTTTGTAATATTGTTGCTCTCCAATAAAGAGGAAATTGGTTACAACATTGTTTTTCACTTCCTCAAGCACAGATTGAGTAAAGAGTTCTTGATATTTTATGTTGCCATTATTATTCTTACACTGCAAAGCAGAAAGACTGAAGTAATTGTGCCATGAAGCAAATTCTGTTGAAATTGTCATCATAAAGAAAAAAAATGCTCTTTTATAATTTGAGATACACTACCAGTCAAACCAGTTGGACACACTTGACTAAATTTGTTTCTCAGTTTAAATTAAATTACTTTTTAACACACGAACACACAAATAGAACATAGTTTTTTTTGTGTGTTATTTCATAGTTTTGACTTAACTCTTATTTTAAAATGGAGAAAATAGTAATGTGTATATATATATATATATATATATATATATATATATATAAAATAATAAAGTAGGCCTAATAGTCAGAATCAGTAGGTGTGTCCAGACCTTTGCTTGATAGTGTACACTATATAGTATACGATAGTGAATGTGAATTGAATTCATGGGTGTGTAAGGAATGTAAATCATAAGTAAGATGAAAATTCTATATTGTACTGTGCATGTAGCAACATACATAGATCTGGCAATGATGTATGTATTTTGTAATATATACAGGATTTTCTAATTTATATCAAAATTATCTTCTTTGAATGTGTCCACAAAATATATGCAGTTTTTTTGGTAAGTTGAAGTGGTTAAATTAGTGAATGCTCTAGACTCTGCATTCCTCACAGAAAACTGCATTTATTGAGAGTTATGTCTAGTAAGGTGTAGAAATAGTTTTTTACCCATGATACTTTTTGTACATTTGTGTTCTTTCCCTTAGTCCTTCGACAACTTTTTTTGAAGTAGTGTGAGATTTCCAGTGCTGGAACCATTGGGAAGACTTGTTGAGAGCTAGCCTTTGCATGCCTTTTAAAGTTAATTGATACTCATTGTTATAACTGTTATAGTACTCATGAATAAAGGAACAGAAATGTCCACTGAACAATTATTATTTTTCATTGTCTGTTCAGCTGTATTCATTTACATGTGCCTTATTTTTATTTATTTATTTTTATTTCCCCCCATATTATAACATATTATATACTGTATGTTAGCTATTTATAATTAATATTGTTGGTAGGGTCGGGGGAAGGGGGGTGGGGGGTGTTGTTATGGTCTATAACCTAATTCATTCATTCCTCCTATTTATTTATTATTTACTAAGACCCTCTCATATGATGACCCTCTTATGAATGACCCTCAAAAATATGCATAAAAATACAGTGCAAGGAAAATCATTACATAAAGACGCTTGCAAAAGTATTTGTTTATATATTGTAATTGTACAAGAGCATAATGAACTTATTAACTTGTATGTTTCATGTCTACACAGTACATTTTACAGTTTTTTTTTTTTTACTTGAGTATTGTACTTAAGTACACTTTTTGAGTATCTGTACTTTACTTGAGTATTATTTTTTTCTGGGAACTTATGACTTTAACTTCACTACATTTGAAAGACAAATATTGTACTTTTCACTCCACTACATTTATTTGAAGGTCCTGATTTTGCTAAATTGTGTACATGAAAATATGACCTATAAAGCCACAGAAGAACTGTTGTGCCTCTCCTAATAAAACACAAAAGGTGTTGGACTTGAAGCAGCACTGCAGACCATTCTGTGTGTGACATCAAAGTACAGCGAGAGCGATTAGACAGCATTTTTCTAAATTTTTGTTTTGATGTCAAATAAGTTGCTGTTTTGCATTTTTGTTAAAGCAGTGCTGCTGTTGTAAAGTTAGTTATACAGCTACGGTTGTGTTGCTGGGTTTTAAAGCAGGTTTGATTTTGTATTTTCTTCCTTATCACTCTGTATTTACAGCAATTTCACTGTCCACTCTGTTCAAATGTGGATGAATGGCTACACATAGATGTGTCCACACACTGTCAGAGCTGTGTGAGATCACTACCATCCTGCTTTTGTGGGGGTG